TGCGGTTCGTGTCGTATTCTCTCTCTCTGACGTTCCGGAATTTTCAGATAGATATTCCAGATATGCATTCCCAAAACAAGCGATAAACAATGCAATTTACCTAATGGAAATCGCTGGGATTTATGGACTAACAAAATATTTATAAGGTAGGAACACCTCAGGAATGTGAAATCTAATAAAGGCTTTGATAGGGAATGTGCATCACGGGAATAAAGAATTTATAGCATTTTTTATAGCCCTAAGAAAATGTTCACATCATCTAACATAATGAAGTTCCCTGTTTGATTTATTTACTCAACTTGAATGACATTTTCTGCTATAAAATGTTTTTAATTCTGATAATTCTTTTTACAGGTTTGATCTATTATATATAATTGTATTAATCATTCTTTCAAAGTATGTTAAAGATGGTTATTATTATGTTAAAGACTAATTTCTTCCGCGAATTGCTGTGATAGCAATTAAATAAACACGACATTTAATGTTTTCCACTGAAACTGATATATTAGATTTTCGAATTCGTCTTAATTTCCCTGTTCTTGCACCTTTTTCTAGTGTTTTTCAATGTCTGGATGATTCACGAAAGTCCATACCCTACTTAAGTTTCCCTCTCGCTGTAGAAATATTATTATTTTTGCTTTTGCGAATATTCAACCCTTGAATTGAGTACCTGAAGGGCTTATCTGGGACTCCCTAAATACCTGTAAAATCCTCGTACACCTGACACAGGGCAGCCTGTCGGAGCTTCGACTGCTTGACTTCCTCGGCGGCGGCATATGTGAAATACGAGGCGGATTGTCGCTGAACCGTGACCACTTTGCTGCTCTTTTTGCCCAAGTGGCTTCCAAAGTTGAACTGAACAAGCGGTAAGTGCAACATTTTGCCCGAGGATCCTCGAGGATCGGACTCTAAAACATAACTAAATGCAGGACGGTCTCAGGGAACCCCTGAAAAATCGCATTTTGCATAGCCACAGGTGGTGGCTCCGTTTTGAGAAGAAGGTAAAATATGGGATGGATGGTAAGCAAAATTTCCGAGTGTGGGAAAAGTGCAGAAACTCACAGGTGGCGACCACCATTTTGCGCTATTCGGGAATTTCCTTCCTTTCTGCCTGAGCAAAATCCGCTGTTGTTATTTCTTTTCTGCTTTTCCTCGCTGGCTGCCTGCCAGAGACATGATGAAAAACTAATTGAGTGGCATCTGAGAAATGAAAAGCCATCGAAAGAGGGCTGTGGGTTTTTGGGTGGTCAGCCTCTTTACACGGGAAAAAAATATGCTTAAAAATACATCTATTATAATGGTAATCGTGGTAAAAAATTAGTTTTACATTTTTTTGTATTGTTTGGACTGTATTGCTTTTTAATAAAATCTTAAAACCTACAAAAAAATTCCATATTATTAAAAATATTATTTAATTATGTTATGAAATAAATGAAACGAAAAAAGAATTATAGCAAATAGCAATGAAATTATTTCCCGCTGTGTAGCAGATTTTGTCAAACAGCACAGACAGTCATCAAAGAAAAATCTTGTAATAAAATTACGTATCCCGCGGAAGCCTTGACGTAGAAAAAGACCAGATCCGAAGGTCTGCGGGGCAATGTAAAATGCCATTAGCATTGAGGGACGGAAAACACGGGCTACAGACTATATAGTCATAGTTTATATAGGCATGTGCGGCCTGTCAACATGTGTAAATGGAATACGAGGTAAGCGACCAGCGGGGTAGGTAAATCACCCGGTAAAAACAGAAACGAAAAAAAGGTGGAAGGATACTGCACAAGGGGAAGAAGAAGGAGAGAGCAGGAAGAGCGGGATAAGATCTTCTTACCTGAGGGAAATATCAGAGCAGGCAGAAGGGTATAAAATTATCAGCGGGAAAGGTTTGTTTTAAAGCTAAACAACATCAAAGGCGAATTGATTCCAAGTTGTTTTCCCGAATATAGACCTAGCCAACCAAATTATAAACTTTTAATTGATATTTGCGCATCGAATTCAGATACAAAATACATTTAATTCAATTTTATTTGTTTATATGCCGCTCGACGGAAAAATTCCTACCAGACAACATATTGACACGTTTTTTTAAGGCATTAACCTTTATATCAGGTATGGAATTATCTGTTACTGGTAACCGGGAACTGAAAGGTTTTAAGGGAAAAATATAAAAAAAAAAAAATATAAATAGTAAGAATTCAGCCCAAATTCAGCTGATAACCTGATAACCTTTTAGATGATTAGTTTTTTTTTAATTCTATGACAGAAGGGCAATCACAACCACTTAGTTCAATTCGTCATCTATAAATATTTGGAATGTTGTTTTATGGAACTTATATTTTGTACAATTTAAAGGTAATAAAAATGATTTTTCATAAACAAATTATCAAATTTTGAATACTTATAATGATGGCAAATAACTTCCAAGTAACTAGGTTCATTTCCTTAGCTAAAAAAGGCTAAGCTGGCATCACTGATAACAGGAACTGCTCACTTTTTGTTGTTGTTACCGATCCTTATTTTTACTCTCACTACAGTTAGGGCGCCTCTTGTGTTGTTGTTGTTGTGATTCTTGGTACAGTGCCGACAGAGAGAGGGAGAGAGAGGGGAAGGGAAGAGAGATAGAGGCAGAGAAGCTGACATTTGTGCGATAAATATTGTCTACACCGAAATAAATTCCGAAAATAAGATTAAAAAATCAGCGACGCGTTGCCGTAGCTTTTTTAGTCACACGCACACCATACATATAAAACATGTACTTATAGTCGAAATTTTGTTGCTGCCAGCGACATTTTTTATGAGGATCTTTTGGCCCCGACTGTGGTTTCACCCCGCGCCACCCCTTTTGGGCGACATTGAAAAATGAAATATTCGCGGGGTATTTCGACCTGCCACGCCCCCGGGCTGCCTCCCCGCCCACCTTTCAGTACTCACCGCATTTCGATTGCTCTTCAATGGTCTCCATTTCGATGGATCTTCTTTATTTGAGGCGGGATTAATTCGTGGAACACAAAAAGCGACACCAACACACTCAAACACAAAACGAACGCACAAGGAGACAAATAATTCGTTTGTACTCGATTCGTTTACTTATTTTCATTAACTGGTCGCTGTTCTCCTGCATTTATCGAGCATCTTTAAGTTGTTTTCTTTTTTTCTGCTTTTCAAATAACTCAGTTAAAAAGCGGCGCGCAATGGCAGAAATCCTCACTCACACACATACACGCGCACAGGCAGCGTCGCCTTGCTGTCTTCTTCTTCCTCGTCTAGCGATTCAGCGTACCTGTTTAAACAAATGTACTAACAAAACGATAAACTAAGCGAATTTGCACTCAAAGGGCACGCGTCAACGGCTGCGCGTCGGAATTACAAATCAAAACTCAACGGCCAAGCACGTCCGGTTCGTTTTTCTTTTCTAGAGGTGGAGAAACATCGATGGAAACATCGATGCATCGATGTTCTACAATTTTTTAGACACATCGATGTTTTTGTAACATTACCAATTTTAAAGAAAAGGGCGGAAAATGTGTTTTTAATTTAAGTTTACTGGTTTCAACTGGTGGTGTAGGATGGAAGCGGCGGTGTATTAAGCTTTTCATAATACTATCCTATAATACTATAATGTTAATATGCTGATCACTTAAATATTGTTGTTCGATTTTGTTTAATTTTTTTGCCGAATAAAGCCTTTGTTTATTTTGTTTTTAAATGAACTATATAAGTTTTTCAGTTGGGCTATATTATTCTACTGATTTATTTAAAAACCAAATAATAATAATTTTTGTAAAACATCGATGTTTCACTCGAAAATATATCAAAATATCAATATATCGAATATATATATCGATATTTTGTGCGAAAAAATAAATATTTTTATCGTGATATTTTGTTCATAAATAATAATAATTATAATAATAATAATAAATAGAAATGGGAAAGATGAGCGCCGGCAAGTGAAAATGGATCTGCCAAGTGCAACATTTGTGATAGAAACATAAAAACTAGGGGCAATAGCTCCAACCTGCTATCGCATTCAAAACACAACAATTGTATTTCGTTCCGCTTAGCAATTGTCAGCTCACAAATGTTTCCATAGAGGGCGCCCGTTTCCTTAAACCAGTTTCCCCCTTCCACCAATTTGGCGCTCCTAAATGTTAGATTTCATGGTTTTCTAACAGCAATGTTAAGATACAACGTTTTCTTACATTGGCAGAACTGTTAGTCCTCTGCCGCTGCTCTGCCAATGTAAGAAAACGTTGTATCTTATGTTATGTTAAATTTCCCTAAACTGTTGAATTGCTGAATTGTTGAATTTTGGTCAGCTGTTAATCAGCTGTTCCATACAAAGTCAACTTTCTGAAATTTCAGCAATTCGACAGACTCGGGGCTGTTGAAAATTTTGTTGAATTGCTGAAAAGCCAGAGTTGTCACCTTTTTTTTTTTTAAAGTCGTGGCAACTCTGTAACATTTTAGTATCACCAGTACGCATTATTTATTTTAAAATCAACTTAGAAAGCATATTTGTAATTCTTTTTACCTTGGTAACACTTTTAGACAGAAACTAGCAATAATAAATCAAATTTTACATGCTTTAAGTTCCGTGAAATTTTTCAACAAATAGCAGCTGTTTGAAAATTCAACAGGAACCATTTTGGGTCGTTCCCTTAATTGCTGAAATTTTTTGTTGAATTTTCAACAATTCAGCAATTTAACAGTTTAGGGAATCCCCCAATCATTTTAAAAACCCGCGCCATAAACCTAAATAAATACCACTAGCCAACTATCGATAACAGCGACTGGCGTTGCCAACGCCCGCACTTGTTGCTGTATCGTCACATTCACCCACACACACGCGCAGGCATTACGTCAATATGGCAAACAATCTGTCAAACGGGCAATTACAACAACAACAAGCGTTCGCCCGCATTGACAGTTCGTCAATAGGATTTGGATACAGGATTTGCAGGATTCGGATTCAGATTCGGATAAACTAAGATTCCAAGATGCTCCCCCAAACGCCGCCCCACGGATTGAAGGTGATGTCGGGGGCGGAGGAGAACCGCCACTACCTGCGCGCCTTCATCCAAACCTACAGGGATCTGCCCGTTTTGTGGGACACCTCGCTGCGCGACTACACGAATCGGGAGAAGCGGGCGGAGGCCTACCTCCGCCTGGTGCCCATCTATCACTACCTGAAGCGCGACGCCACCGTGGAGGATGTGAAGAAGAAGATCAACACTCTGCGCACGAATTACCGCAAGGAACTCAAGGTGGTCGAGAGCGCCATGCGTTCGGGCAGTCTTCATAGTCCCCGCTGCTGGACCTTCCAGGAGCTGGACTTTCTGCGCAACTCCGAGAAGTTCCTGGCCGTCAATCCCGCCTTCAAGAACGAACCCAATTTCGCCTTCAGCGAGGGCAGCAATTGCACGAGTGCGTTTCTCGAGGGATCAGGCGCTGCCCTGCATTATTCTGCTCCGCGGGCGGGAGGGCAGACCCCCAATATCTCGGAGATGTTTCACAAATCCTTTGGTCCTCCTCCTCCACCTCCCCCAGCGACGGCGGGAGCTAACCATGTGGACTATGTGACCACCAAGCGAGCCAGACAAACGCCGCCCTGTCCAGGAGGAGGAGGAGGATCTGCAGGCGGTCCAGGACCTACACACAACACCGACGAGCTGCTCAACATTGCCTGCGAATATCTGGCGGGCACCTATCCCGAGGAGGAGTCCATTGCCCGCACCTGGACGCACAAACTCAAGAGATTGCCGCGCGAGCAGCGACTCCTGGCCGAGCGCTTCATCAACGAGATCCTTTTCGAGGCCGAGTCCAACAATCTGCATCGCGGTTCCGTGCAGATCAACAACAGCTTCGAGCCCTACGTTCGCTACGAGGAGCCGCCGAATGGGCACGAGGAGCAGGATAAATCCCAGAGTCCCAGTGTGCACACCTCCAGCGAATCCAAGCCGAATGTATCGGGAGCAGGCGCAGGAGGAGGAGCACCTGGCAGGGAGTTCTAAGTTTAAGTTTATAGTGACTAAGTGTTATTAAGTTTTTATTGGCCGAAAGGGGGTAAATGGCAAACAAGAATCAACAATAAATAAACCTGTAAGTAGGATCAGTCCATTCGCTGGTAGTCGACCAGGTTGCGGGTGAACCACACGTAGGGCGAGGCGCCGGCCAGAAGGAGGCAGGCGCCGATCACAGGACGATGCAGGATCCAGGCCACGGCTGCAATTGTGAGGGCCAAAGAGAAGGCGATGAGCAGGTTGCCCGTCACCGGGAACTGGGGATCCGGAGCCAAAGCCACCAGCAGTGGAACCCGAACAACTAAAAGAGGAAAAGAAAACAATTAAGAACCGAACTAAACCAAAGACTAGGAATAACCTTACACAAGAGGCGCAGAATTTTGGTGTTGCAGGTGACGCCGAAGAAGATGAGCAGCCAGCCGACGAAGCGCCACCACCAGGTGTGCAAAACCTGGGCCCTTGCCTCTAGCCGGAACACCTCCTGGACACTCAGGCTACCCGGATAGACGAGCAGAACGGCCACGCCACGGGATGTTATATAGGGAACCAGTTTGTTGCCCGACAACCTGCCCACCACGCTGAACACCTCGCCCTCCATTCCTGCAAAGCTGAAGAGCAGCCTCAGATCGCCCACTTCCGGATTAAATACATCATTCGTGTGATAGTAGATGCCCAGATGCAGCTTCACGCTGCTATCCTCCGGCCGAATGTCCGAGGTGAGCTCCTGGTAGCCGGCGAACTTGTCCTTCACCTCCGCGCCCAGTTCGTAGCGGCCAATGTAGACGGCATCCGCCACCTGGACGTGGCTCTCGATGGGAAAGTGGCTGGGATTCGTGTGCCCGTGGCGGTTGTAGAAGTTCCGCGAGTCCACGATCTTGTCCCGCCATTCCCGCGTGTAGTAGTAGGTGCGGGAGTCCGATTGCGTCGATCCAACGCTCTCGCCGTAGTTGTGCTCCCTGCAAAATTAAACAATTTAATGAAACAAATTAAAATTTTAAATACGCCGGTGGTTATTCTAAAGGGTTATTAACAATACATTACATTATTAAAAATTTCAAGCCCTGTCTTTTTAATTTATTAAAACAAAATAATATACTTTCCCAAATTGTGCTCGCTGAAAATAAAACAATTTTATGAAATAAATTACAATTTTAAATATGTCGGTGGTTTTTCTAAAGGGTTATGGACAATTTCAAATCCTTAATATACATTTAGTATTAAATATTACATATTTATTTAAAAATAATAATATATTTTCCAACGGCTAAACATCTTCTACTGTTTTGTTTTAAATGAGTCAAGAAATATATTTAAAGTTTCTATTTTTGTTTTCGGCATACCTTATTCAAGGCACTAAGAAATCTGAAAAAGTATTTGTACAAAAAGCCAAAATTATTCTCCATATTGAAAAGATTTCTATAAGAATTACTTTTTATACTTTGGAAAAGATTTCTATAAGAATCACATCTTTTTAAGACATTAGAAATATATGAAATACAAATTATTCTCTATATTGAAAAGATTTGCATAAGAATTATTTTTTGGAAAATTTCTATAAGAATACCATCTTTTTAAGACATTAGAAATACACGAAATACATTGAATATGCTTATGTTTTTTAAATAATTTAGGAAATATAAATTTTTAATACGAATATTTGCGGTGAAATATTTTTAATTACAAATTAAATGGCAAGTAAAGCAGGAATATTGTTTACAGTATAATAAATAATTTTAAAGGGCTGTAAATATAATGTACAATAGACATAAGAAAAATCTAGAAATATGTATGACAATGGTCTTAATGTTTCTTGAAAATTTTAATACAAATAATAAATAATGCAAATTAATAAAATGTTCATATAGTATGTATGCACAAATGTGAACCGCCCACCAATGAGCAAATGACTATATCCAAACATTCCGACTAGAATAAGAAAAAAGTCCCTAAACCAAGATATTACCCTGGGGTAATAATTAATATTTTATGATATACGAATATTTGGCAGTGAAATATTTTTAGTTACAAATTAAAGTAGTACAAAATGTGAACCGCCCACCAATGAGCAAATGACTATATCCAAACATTCCGACTAGAATAAGAAAAAAGTCCCTAAACCAAGGTGACTTAGCTACCCTGTGGAACACTTACACGGTCTCCTCGACCCACTGGTACATTTGGACGCGGCGCCGCAGCTTCACCGCCAGCAGCTGGATGTTGTAGTCCGGTTCGGTGAGCGGTTCGCCCACCAGGATGGGGCCGGACAGGTGGACGATCCTGCCCTCGAGACCCACCTCCTGCTCCTCCTCCGTGAAGCGCACCGAGTAGATGTCGGCGTGCGCCTCGTCCAGGGCCATCATGTTGTGGACGGCGCGTCCCTCGTTCCAGTAGAGCACCGTGCTCCCGGCCGCGAAGAGGAGCAGGCCGAACAGGGCGATGGGCCAGTGGCTACGGAGCGTTTCGTTCAGAGTGGCCATGGGTGCGATGGGATGCGGTTGTCCAGGATGTTTACCATCTGTGGAGCGCCAGGCAGTGCAATAAATAATATTTCCAGCAACAGCTGATTTTGTGCAGTGTGGCCGGGCGGAGAAAGCAGAGAAAGCTGTGAGAAAGAAATTAGTATATCCTTTGAATTTCCAGTATGCACTTCGTGAGCTTAATGGAATATTTTGGCGATCAAGAAGTGGTTGCACCAAAATACAGACGCCTATAAAAACTGGGAATAGTACACCCAGCAATTTAGTTTACAAAGAAATAGAGTCCAGCACCGGCAGAAAACCAGCAATATGAGCAACAAAGAAATGTTAGACTTCTATTCCAATATGGCCCATACCAAGCCGGAATTAACAAGCGAGTATTATATAAAAAAAATTGACAACGAACTGAGGAGGGATCTTAAGTTTAATGATCAAAACCATCAGATACGTTTGAAAGAATTGGAAATTGAAGGCATGTTAAAAATAAAGCAAATGGAACTGGAAATTAAGAAAATTGATTTGGATCTAAAAAAATTTGGAGCTTGAAGTGGAAAAAACAAAGATTGGAAGTCAACTCAAATAGCAGCCGGAAGTCACAATAATTGGTTGTTCTGAAATGTACATTCATTTTAGCATATTGGCAGAAATAAAAATTTTTACTGAAATACCAAGCCTAAAAGCAAAAATTTTTTAATAATGAATTATTAGAAGTAATATGCAGTTATAAAGCTCACCACGGCGTGCTTACTGAGCTTTCTTATCGTAAACATCATATACATATGTATGTATGCATGTTACGACTCCACTAAGAATTAATAATTTTGCATATTCTGGGGTATTCCCCGAATTGATAGTGTGGCCGGGCGGTAATACCAGTAAAAAAGGCATAAGTTTAAGTCTGTGTAAAAATCAGTATATCCCTTGAATTTCTAGTAGGAATTTGGTAAGCTTATTGGAATATTTTGGCGATCATGAAGTGGTTGCACCAAAAGACAAATGAGGAACAATTACAGTCAGTAATTCAGTTCCCGACAGCAAACCAGCATTATGAGTTCTCCAGCCATCGAAGCGCTTCGCCTGGAAATTGTCGAGATGGAGAAGGAACTTAAAAATGAAACGGATCCAGCTCGTGCCAAAAAACTAAAGGAGGAGCTTGAGGAAAAAACAAAGATATGGATTGGATTAATGAGACAGCAGGCGAATATAAATGCATCCCAAGCGATAATAAACAACTGGTAGTCAGGAAGAAATATCGAACTGTATTCCAAGTTATTATACTACAAATACGGAATGTAAAATTGTTAATAAAATTAAATTAATTTACAACTTATGTATATGGAAACACACAGGTGTTGTATATTTTCCTGCCTTACACTTAAACAAATTGTATATTTGAAAATACCTATAAATGTTGTTGTTTTAATATTAAAGATTGTTAGAAATTAACATTTTTAAAACCAACATGGATTTGGGAAGATCAGACCTGTACGACTTTGGCAAGCGGACAAACCATTAAAAAAGAAAAAAAAATTAAAACTAATCAATAACGGTGGCGATCAAGACAAATAAATTAATTCACAAAGAAATAGAGTAGCAAACCAGCAATATGAGCAGTAAAAGAATGGAAAACTTCTATTTCAATATGGACTATACCAAGCCGTAATTAGTATATGTATGTATGTGCATTGTATATAGCTCAAATTTTTTAATAAAAGCTTACTAATTTATTTGCAATTTGCAATAATATTACATCTTTCACAATTTGCAAACATGCGTTACTTTGTTGGGTACTCCTCGGATTCACTGTCTGCAATGAATCACAAAAAACTCAAGGGGTGACTCACAAAAGGGTGGTATACTAGCACCTCGCCAGTGATAAATTTCATGACTTTCTGATGAATTGTTAATAAATATTGCTGCATTGTTATTAAAATACATATTTACACAATAAACCGACAGGCACACTGCAATAAAAACCGTAGATAAAAAACAGTTAGATCATCCGAATTGTTTGCATTTATTTTCATTCATTTCATTAAAAAATGAAGATACTTCGACCAAAATTTTAATGTCAAGTGCGAATAATAGAAAAAAATAAACATAGATACTATTTATTTTCTTGTATTAACCCCGATAAAACTTGTTTACAAATATTTTAAATTTTAAAAATAAACAGTAGCGCGAAGTGGGACCAGATCAAAAAAGATTCAAAACGTTTTAAAATCTTTAAAATGATTGGTATTTCCACAAATAATGTATAGCGTAATATATACATATGTACATATATTAACAGTGTTAATTTAACACACATAAGTACGATCGAGCCCCGCCTGGAAAGACATTAAAAGGAGATCCGCTAAATTAAAGGTTTTTATTTTTCTTAAATAGTTATCAAAATAAAACAAAGTCTTAATTTTACAGGGCTTAAGCTATGGATAACCACGATGTCGATTTTGTGCAGTGTGACCGGGCGGTGAAAGCAGTGAGAAAGGCAGCCTTTTAAGTCTTTATAGAAATCAGAATATCCTTGGAATTTCCAGTATGCA